TTGGGTCAATTTAGGACAGTTGTCAGAGACCCCAAGAAACAAAGGCTCTTTGTCTCACGTACTGGCAGCTTTACTTCCATGAGACTGCCAGGTTCACTGCCAGCACAGAAATCCTACCTGTTGTGTTAAAAGCTTGGTCACGATTCAGCTGAAATGGGCTTTGTGCCATGTTCCAGTTAGTTCAGGGCTGAGTTTGTAAAGGTTAAGTTGGATCTGCAAATGTACTTGATTTCTAAACCTAAAACCGGTTTTCTTTCTGGGAACTAAATGGAAAAAGGTCACTCACACTTCTGAATATTTCAGGACCAAGCAAGTTCTTCGGTTCTGCAGGCTAAGCCAGAAGACAGGCTTTTCAGCTAGGGAGACTTCACCATGAGGGGGAGGAGTGGCACAGGCAGAGCCAAGCTGGTACCAACTGGGCCCAGAGCTTTAGTGTTATTTTTAGTCCTTGGAATTCTAGACCGGTTTGGAAAGGTCAGTGAAGAAGTTTTGTGTATACAAATTTTATACAAGTATTGTATATATGTGCTCGCTTCGGCAGCACATATACAAGTATTGTATATAAAAAAAATTTCTAAAAAGTCAAGCCACGATCATAGGGAATAGACAGGAGAAGATAGAGCATCAGAAGTGGTGTGTCAGAAAAGAATGGTTTTCTTTTAGCTCATTGGTTAATTGATGCCATACAGGGGAGTGTGCTCCCTCTCAGCCTGTTAGGACTGCTGTACATATTTATTCCCTTGTTATGCCTCCTTTCCTCCACCCACTGCACATACCCATCCTGGGCCACCTCCAGGTCAGTATGACGTTTACCCTTTAGACAAGGAGAGAAAGAGACAGTGAAATTGAATGGAGGCAGCCAGAAATTATGGAAGTTCTGTCCTTAATGTACTTGGCTGATATCCAAAAGCCACGTGTCCCTGGCAGCTCAAATCTACCATCAGCTCGGCGAAAGATGGGCAGTCTTCTTCCATTAAGAGTCAAAGCCTTGAAAACTTGATGAGGGATCACTCAGTGTTGGGTCTGACTTGATGGCAGTAGGCTTGGTTTGGGCTTGTCTGCCTTGAAACGGCAGTGTTTCTGCATGACTGGGTGTTGTATGTGTGCACACACATACCCATGTGTATGATGTCTATTGTATAGTTTTTAAACAGATAAACACAGATTACAAGAAATAAAATGTGACATCAAAGAGATTGTTATTGTTGGTAGACGCTGGTGAGTCAATTCAAACTCATAGCAACACCATGCACAGAAACCTGAAACCATACCAAATCCTGCTAATCTTTTATTATCTTTATTCATTCATTGCTGCATATTTTCTTCCTTACTTTTTACTACCACCTCCCCTAGTCCACTTTGCAATGCACTCTTGTTCCAGATTGTTGTCATACGTATACTACCTAATATGGGCTACACACAAGTCCTATACAAGGACTACCTAATACTACCTTTCAGACCGTTCATGCTCAAGACCATTATTGCAGTCCTGTAAATTTTCATGAGCTTTTCCATGTTCATGCCATTGTTGTAGTCACTGAGCGAATCCATCTCATTGAGGATCTTTCTCTCTTTAGCTAATCTTTAGTCTTTTCCATGAATGATTCCCTTTTTCAAGGACTAGAACTAATCCCCAAAGTATGTGAGACAAAATACTTCTAAGGGTATCCTGGCAGCACTTTTTCCAAGACAGATTTATTTGCCCTTTTGGTAATCCATGGTTTATTCAGTACTTACCAACACCACAATTCATAAGTACCAAATAATCCTCATTCTTCGGTCTTCCTTTTGTATTGTCCAACTTTCACATGTTTAAGGAGCATGATCCATTATTTGGATCAGCTGCACCTCAGGTTTTAAACTGATATCCTTGCATTTCAACACTTTAAAGAGGTCCATAGCAACAGATTTGTCCAATGTAATATGTGGATTTATCTCTTTACTGATGCTTCTGTGAAAGTTGATTGTGGATTCAAGTAAAATAGATCCAAGATTAATGACATCAATCTTTTCTCCATCATGATGTTACCTATTATTCAAGTGGTGAGAATTTTTGTTCTGAGGTGTGATGCAATCCATAGAGAAGGCTTTCTTTCATCTTCTTTATTAAAAGCTTCAAGTTCTCTTCACTTCTAGCAATAGGGGAGTTGCTGTTTCTCCCTCTAATCTTGATGTTATTCTTCACATAATCTAGTTTCTCAAATATTTTGCTCATCATACAGTTTAAAAGGTATGGGGAAACAACACAAGCCTGGCACACACTTTTCCTGATTTGAAATGATGTAATATTCCTTTAGTTTTTTTAAGCAACTGCTTCTTGGTTCATACACACATTCTGCACGAGCACAATTGTTCTGAGATTCCCCTTCTTATCAATGTTACCCATAATTAATTATGATCTACATAAGTGCCTTTGCATAGTCAAGAAAACAATAACTCAGTAAAATACACAATTAAATAACCATAATCAATTTTTTAAAAGATTTCTTTGTATAATCAATAAAACACAGACATCCTTCTGATATTCTCCATTTTCAGCCAAAATTAACTTGATATCAGAAATGATAGCCTTCAGTCTTTGACCTCTTCTGATTCTGGCTTGAAAATCTGTCAGTTCCTTGTGAATGTACTGTTCTAGTTATTTGAAAATAATCTTCAGCAAGCTCTTATGTGTGATTTATCATCTCTGGGAAGCCAGACTACAATATGCCACCCTCCTCACCTTTGTTCATCTCCTTAAAGCCAAGTGAGAATTCCTTATTCTAAGGGGCTACAGCTCCTTGGTGAAAACTTTCCTACAGCTTCATAATACAGTATTTTACTGCTTACGTTTATAGTCCTCTCCTCAGCTGCACTATGAGCTGAACTACTTAGGATTATCATCAGACTCAGTGACTTTGGACATTTCATAGCAAAGGATACATTGTGGGGAAAATGTGATTGTTCCACAAAAACTTCATCATTAAGTAATGTATTATTCTCTGTAACATTCTGAGTGTAAGCTTATAATGAAGAGGCACTTTTTAATGGGACAAATAGATACTGGCTAGGAGGAACAGTTTCCAATCATATTTCATTAAAATATTACAGTCAAGTTTGGGAATATATGGGAAAATGATCTTAAGTGTTGTAGTCTGAGAAGTGAAATTGAAGTAACTACTCATCTGTTTCAATCACTTCTAAAATATTAAATCTTACAATTACGCTGGGTCTGGTTTCCTTCCTGGCCACATAATCAATATTTAGATGATCCAAATTCTAAAGTTAATTACTTTACATACCCACCAAGAATTTGTCTCAACCATTATCTCAAGAGTCAATTAAGTCATGTTTCACACAATAATTTACAAAATTCATGATCTATATCCTTGTGAAACCTTTGACAACTAAGGTCTTAAAAGCTTGTGAGTGGGCATCCAAGACACAACTGCAGGGCACTAATAACCAGAAGCTACACAATAATAAAGTAGCCAAAAAAAAAAAAAATAAAATAAAAATCAGAAGAAATAAGTCTACACAAGACACAACCTCATCTCCCTTGAAACCAGAACTAGATGTTCTCCAGCTACTATTGCTCATCATTCTAATCAGGGTCTTAATACTTCATTCCAGAGAAAATGGGATAAAAACATACATGAGAACACACACACACACACACACACACACACACACACACACACGTACATGCACACAGACAGTTGTTTTTGTTGTTGTTGTTGCTGCTGCTGCTGCTGCTGTTTTTGTATACCATCGAATCAGAACTGACTCTCCAGTTGGGCATTCGAAGGCAGTTAGCCCATTCTCTGCAAAGCAGCTAGTGGCTTCGAACCACATGCCTTTGGAATTGCAGCACAGCTTCTTGCCACTAGGCCACCTGAGCTTCCTACATAGAAAAAATAAATCCACCAAGACTATTACCCTAAGACATTCTTTCAACCTAGAACTAAATCTATTTCTTAAAATTACCTATTAGTAAAAATAGTAGAATGTGGCAAACAGAAGATACTACTTGTAAGATCAGCACTTTACCTAAAAGTATGAGACCAATGATCAAGAATTTCTTTTTT